GAAGTATAAACATTTTTGACTTATAGGTCATTCCATTGTGTGATGATAACAAAATTAGTGAAATAAAGCATTAAATGGCTACTATTATTATGATTATAATCTTTATTATGATACATTGAAATAATTGTTATTTAAGACACAATCACACTGCCAATAGAAAAGAGTATATTATTTTTGATTTACAAAAATGTAGGAAAGCAGACGACATATAGATTACTGAGACACTCATTGTTTTATTACTATCTTTTATACTCAAAGAAAATAGTTCCTTGCCATTGCACACAGCTCTATTGAAGGCCACACTTGTTTGTAATACTTATACCTCATCTTCAACAGTTGTCATTTTTTTATCATGATTGCATATTTTTTAATTTGGGCGACTTGGACGACCTTCAATGGCATTTTTATAGATTTTTAAACAAAGAACCGCCTTTACATGAGCCGCGCCATGACAATACCAACATAATGGGTTTGCGACCAGCATGGATCCAGACCCGCCTGCGCATCCGCGCAGTCTGATCAGGATCCATGATGTTCGCTATTAGTTTCTCTACTTGTAATAGGGTTTGTAAGCGAACAGCATGGATCCTGATCAGACTGCGCGGATGCGCATGCTGGTCTGGATCCATGCTGATCGCAAACGTACTATGTTGGTTTTGTCAAGGCGCAACTCAAATTGTTTTGGATGCTTATTTGAGATCCGAATGAACCGAATGATTGAGTGTTTTAAATATACAAATATAAAAAGAATAGATGTATTGATATGTAGTAAATATCAATTACATGCATGTAAATGAACCGTTTTATATTTTATACAAATATAAAAAGAATAGATGTATTGATGTGTAGTAGTTGTCAATTACATGTATATAAATGAATTGATAAGTGTTTGTATTTATGATGGCATAAGCAAACTGTTGCAGCATGAGCCTTGTGAGAGCGCTTAGCGGCGGAATAATTTTATCTGAGCTTGGGTTCTGTTATTTTTGCTCTCATTGTTTTGTGTGACGCTATGACAGTTAGACACGGGTCAATTGAGCCTGTTCACATGAAATAGATTTAACGGCATCCATGTCAAGACGCCATAGCACCGACATATACAGAATTTAAGACTTTGGTTAATGATGTTTATTTTTAAAGGATAAATGAAATAGGGTGGAGTATAAGAAAGATGTGAAATATATCATAAGCTGCTTGCATTGAAAGACTATTCATAATGTGAGAATGCGTGTTATTAACCTGTTTTTCATTAAACATTTATACATAGAAAGAAAATAACAAATGATAGTCTTATCATCTCGATTTTTAGAATTATGCTTTTCAGAATATTTACTCGACAATAATGACCATTTACCCTTATAGATATCAAATGATATTAAAAGTGACAAAGATATTTCCATAAAGATCAGCAAAATGAGTGTTTACTGTTGCATATGGCCTATATAGCAAAAAGGTTTCAGATCTTTCTTCTGAAAACTGAGTCTAATATTGTTAACTCTAATGAATTCCCGGCACATTAGCAGATATATTTATACATTTTACACGTTTGATATCAAATATGCCTCGAGACAAATTGTTTTAGATGAAACCTGATTTTTTAAACAGACAATTGACATATTCTAGTTGTCCCTCCGGGATATATCAATGCCTGCTAATGTTGTAGGATTGCAAATCGTACAGTCAGAATGACGAGACAAAAATGTCTTCATCGTATTTTCATTAATCTATTAACAGACCTTATATTATAAAGGGAAAGCTTGACAGTAGATTGCGGAAGTTCGATGACTTTACCAACGCACCTGGTCGTGTAGAAAATAATATACACGTAGGAGAATTGGTCTTCATCCTAATTAAAACTCACCAAAATAGACGTTGACAATATTGATGATACTTAAAATCTATCCTCTTATTATTATTATTATTATTATTATTATTAGACTTTAAGACGTGCTTTAAATCTATATACGCAATCCTTTTTGCCAAACTTCTTCAATGTTGCATTTCGTTTAGAAATGTTGAGGGTTTGTATTTCTTTTTTTCGTTCAAATGTCAACACTTAAACATTGACTGACATTGCTACTTCACTTTGTCAATCTTTTAAAAATTTTAACGGACCGGTTTGGACTAGTAGAACATTCAGTTTGAATGTTTTGTTTAGTAGAATAATTAAAACTTACGTATTATATTTTGATGTAAACAAAACGTACGTATTTATATGTAATGACAAATTTATTACTCTTATTTTCTTACTATAAAATCATTCAAATGTTCGTGGTAGGTTAATTGACAAATTTGATTTTTCATAGTTTATCAAAAATAAATGTAACAAAAAGTTTAATGTGTGTAACAACATTTCAATTTTGCCGTTTATGGCGTTCTTTGGGGATTCCTGTTACCATGTAAACAAGGAAACGTTTACTCTGTAACATCCAGGGAGAAGACAAATCGTGTGTTAAGGAATTTAAGGATAGTTAAAAAAGGTTTATGAATTATAAATAATTGATAAACAAACCTAAACGAGTGTAAAAATCTTAAAACGTTTGTAAACGCGCTTTTAAATGGAGTTAAACAGAGTTCCCACGCTCAAGTTGTGCTTTCATTTGGTCCAAACCTTTTGAACGAACGCTTTTATTGTGCATGTTAAATTGTGATGATAATTCTAAATAGTATATAAACTTATTTAAGAAAATAGTATAAAACCAACTTTTAAACTTGTATACCTTTATAATATAATAGTATGTATAAGATACTCTGAACATTTCAACATGTGATGTTATCAATATAAAAGTATTATGACCTAGCTTCACTTACTCTTTCCTAAAGTATCTGCTATATAGACTGCTTCTTCAATCGTAATTTAGAAAAGGAAAAGCGTGAAATTCTTTATGACGGACAGATCATGCTTAAATTAATGTGGTTTTTAAAAAGCAAAGCAAGCGGTGGGGTGACATTATGAGTACGAGTCTTAGCATGACAGAGTCTACCGTCAACCTGCTAATTGCATGTTTTTGTCAATATTTGTGACTAAGCCCGTAAAACAAGCTAGTTTGGAAATAAAAATTTCTAGCTAAAAGTATATAATGTTAATTTCTTACATATCAATATGCATTTGTCAATTGAACACTTATACGAGTGTTATTATAACAGCTCTAATTCGGTTGCGCATAGTATCCACATCGTCTTCATTTGCAGTTTGTTTTAACAAAAAAAGATCTTTTTAATAAAAACATCATGATGAATTCAAGCCCGTACATTCTGTTTAAATATGTGATGCTTGAGAATATTTTAACTTCACGTTTGTGTTAGGAACGCAGTCGCTTAAAAGACTTAATATTCTTTATTTGATATTCAACACGTCTCTTTTATGTAGAATCGAATGTTATTTGTTTAAAGCAAATAATTCATTTCTTTTAAAGCACACAGAGTCAATAAAGAGTTACATAAAAGGCAGGTGGTGTTCATAAAAATAATATTGAATCACACGTGTGCATCCTTGGTAGCAGATCGCCAACATAACTTAAATAAAAGTAACAAAACACAAAATAAATCAATGCTGGACGCTAAACAATTAAAAGGACCGGTTAAAACCATACTAGGCGGTCTGTAATAGGTACCATATTAATTTTGTTGATATCTTCATATAAAAATCATACCGGAGAACCTAAATATCAAATAAACTGGTAATGGAAACAGTAGTTCAAGAGTGCATGGAAACAATAGACTCGGCTTTTAATTAATTTTATTCTTTTTCTTTAAGTATAAGGACTTTTTTCTAATAAAAGAATATTTCACAGTTCAATTTAGTAGACTTTATAATTTAGTGACACATCCCATTCTTGCGTTTCTGCCCAAATTTCATATTTAATTTTTTTTTTCAATTGATACGTTTTTGTTTTTAATTTAGACATAGTAGTTTCGACCACACTTCTCACAGCCCAAACGAGTATCGTATTCAGTGACAAACACGTCCCCATTAAAGTTATTGAGATGAAATTAGAATCAAACTAAAATTTAAAACTAAGCAAATTTATATTTTATTTGAACGCGGTTGTTACAAATAATAATAATCAGACTGTTATGTCATATTTTTTATTGATGTCGAAATGGTGCAATAAACTCTTTTATATCATTATGTCTTTTGAAATGGTAGAAAAATTATACAAAATGTTAAGCATCCAACAATATTCAATGCAAACTATACATAAAATTTGTTCTTTCTTATTAATTCATTGTAAAATTCCGCTGTATATCATATCACAAACCTTTCGGCAATGGATCAGCTATTGCTATAAATGCGTGTAAACGATATATGTTTAATCAATCATAATTTGGGCACATGGAATGTTTAAGAATTCAAAAACAAAGCAACACCTGGCGTTTTAATTATAAGATTCAGCTAATGTCTATGACCTCTTCGTAAACTAATGAAACATAAGCAATAAAGAACGGCCGCCCTTCGCCGTCTCAAATGTTCTTACAGCGGTGCTATCTGATCGCACTTCAATGACGGAACATAACGGTTGTTTGATGATAGCTGATATGATTTGTATGTACGACAATTATGACAAACAAATTATAGAGTTGTATGATCAACGGCCAATTGTACATGATTGTTGAACCGAAAGGCTACATACCTTGAGTTTACCAAACGTACTAGACAAAGACTTTGAAATAAGATACATGTATAAATATTTAACGGTCCTGTCAAAATAACTCAATAAAGATTGTTTGGTCGCGAGTCAACACTTTGTTGCAGTTCAGTGGTTACATATTATATGGGTGTTTCTTTATTCTTTTAGTTGAGCAATTTACATTGTTTTGGCCGTCAGCACTTCTTTTCTTCTTATACGAATTTTAAAAAATAAAATACACGGTAACCCTATATCTTGTAATTCTTTAGTTTTTTATAAACAAATTTATTTATAACTACGAAGCTCCGTCTAGACTTCATGTATGTCAGTATAGATAATGATCACGTATAAGATATAATCAACAAACACTTATTTTTCTATATAAATTATATAATTTATTTATTTTATTATGTTTTCAACATCATAACAACAATGTTACAAAATATGTGTAAACAATGTACATGATTCAAGTGTAAACAATGTTTTTCATACATGATTCACAATTCAAAGTTACAACCAAAGACCAATTGCCCTTATTTATAACATTACATATAATAGCACATTCTTTTCAGACAAATTATCTGTGCAACTAACACAGAAATAACCGTACAACTACCGTTATCATTTTACTTTGCTCTATTTCGACATTTACTATCGAAAAATATATAGAAATTACACATGTTACATACGTCATTCACCCAAAAAAGTCTGCATCCATAACAAATTTATTACCCAATCGATTCCACACATGCAGTTTGTTCAGAAAGCACATTTAGATTTGAAGCAGATTCAGGCATTTACAGGTTGTAAACGTTATCACTTACTCCGGAATAATTGCCGACAATTTCAAAAATATTTGATGCAATATTTACACCTATTGACTCACAGTGAGTAAGCAATGGACTTTAACTTTCTAATACATTTCCTTCTATCTATTATAAAGGCGAGAAAGTTCCGTGTAGAAAGGCTTAAAATTCGCAATTAACAGTATATAGCCAGGACAGACTACACGTTGTAAACAATAAACAAGTCACTATTGCAGCAAGCACTGTAAGTCGTCACCTTAGTGCAGTAACGGGTTATCTCCTCATATAATTACTGGGAGTTAATCCGTTATTGCACTAAGATGCCGATTATCTTACATATTGAATGTGTCAAAGTCTGAATAATTAATAGTATTTTAAAATTTTGGGTAAGGATCTTTTGTTTGCGTTATATGAAAGTGAAACAAAACTAAACTTCTTGACAAACAAATGTCAGACACGAATTAATATGGCTTAAAAAATGTATCATCTTTCGTGTATCATTAATAGTATAATATCAGTGTCAATATATAGTGTGCGTACATCTCGCCCAATTTTGGCTGCAACGCACAAATAAATAAGCGCTGTTTACATAGTAAACAATGTCATTACACATCTTCCAGAAAACTTTGCCACAAAAAACAAAAACTGGACCATACAATATATAATTGTACATATTTACTGTCTAGAGATTGTCCTGAAAGTTGGAGCTGTTTTACCATTAAATTAAATCTGGATATCAGAAACGATGTCAATGTTATATTAATGAAGGTGATAGTGTATATATTACAATGCAATGAGTGAATCTGAATTGGCATATTTTCTGAAATTATAATATAATTCAGCTTCTGATTTTAATATAACTTATAAAGATTATACGTGGTTTACAAAATGTTTGACACCAGTATATATATACCAATAGGATTATCTAAATTAGGTCTGTGATTTAAACTAGGATTATCAATTTTATGATCCAAATTTTTCAAACAATTGAAAAACTTTGTGAAAATATTGAGGTATTTTATTATTACTTACAAGTCAGAGTGTTTTTTTTGAATACTTAAGTTTAATATTCATTACATATGAAAATATATTATATCAATACAATTTTAATATTTCCTTAATTAATGGAATACTGAAGTACATGAAACATTATATATAATATGTATTGGTAAAATTATATCGAATCCTGTGAAAATCATTGATCAACATAAGTTTTCTATCTTACACGTAGGCATGATATAGAAATAGTAAAGTTATAATTTAATCGCAGTGTTACAAACAAATACTGCTAATTGTGGAAAGCACTTATATATATAAATATATATATTTTACATTTAATATCTTGATTCCTCACACGACACGTTGTAACTTAATGCCTTATCATTATTAAAGACATGTTAACAGTTAGTAGGCCACTTTACCCGGAATACAAAAAGGCCAAATTGATTTGAATCCAGTTTCAAAGCAATGTTGCACTGAAGCTGGGTACGCACTTGAAATGACCAGACCAAAGGTGGGGTATAAATATCGGGACATGATCCATCATCTCTTGTTTAATAACATTGGAACTAGCATATGATTAATTCATGTAAAGTCCCTGAAGTTATGACCAACCGAAATCTTGTCCAGTCATGCTGTATAATTTAATATTAAAAGGTCTATAAAAGTCTTCTAGACGCCTTTTCACAGAATGGTCTATACCCGGGTGTCGTCTACCTTTCTCCTCATTAAGGCAATGCCACCCACTGGTCTTTGTTTCTTTTTTATAACACGGAAAACCTTTCGTTTGGTTAAATGTAAAATTTTCTGCAGTAATATATTGCTCCAAACCTAGAAATTCCTGGATTCTTTGCATTTCACTAGCTGGATTTTTAATCAAGTTTTCACCACTTACAAAATGGAATTGGCGAATGGGAAAATATTCTAACCATCTTGCCAAATGTTGGGCGTATACGCCTATCTTTACAATAGTCCAAGAGGTATCCACAATTCTTGTTCTATTGTTTACGAACACCATTTCTTCAAAGGATTTCACATTTGGATTTCTACTAACTAATTGTGCGTAGTCTGAAATAGCTCTCGTTACAGGGTCTCTGAAAACTACAATTAACTTCATCTTTTTTGACATTCTATAGACTCTTTCTGGAATTCCCTTTGTGACGAAATACGATGGCGTCTTTTCGACCGTTATCTGTCCTTTGCTTGTCTCTGGCATCAGATTCCTGTAATTAGAATTATAAAGACTGGTTATCATATGTTCAAACTCAACAACACAAAACCCGAAAAGACATTTATTACTCCTTTGTGTGCATATTTTGTTCTGAAGTCATAATTCTATACTTTAAAATTTGCAGAATAGAATTGTTTTGGCTGATATTTTACACCGGTCATATGATATTGACTAGAATGTCTAGGAATATTCAAAAAAACAGTAAGAATACTGAAGTTATCTTTAATTTATAAAGTAACTCGATTATCTAAAATTTATAAATATATCAAAATAGACGTAAAGCTAGAAGGAATCAACTAACCTCAAATAGAGATATTAAATTATTTTAAGGGAAGTCGCTCATAATGCATACACAATGTTATACATGTAACATGATTGTATTACAGATAAATTTGAAAGTATTAAAAATTTAAATTGAATATAAACAAAGAAATGAAATGTCAACAATAAACAACCGTGTCAGATAAGACGACATTTGGCTATGATGCTTATGTCAGTAATTTTATTAACAATTATGACATAACTAAATTTAGAAACAATTCAAAAGTATATTTTAAAGATAAGTTGACATGTGTAAAACATAAGTATTATGTTCCATATATTTTGAAGTGTTTTCAACGCTTTCATACTTATTTCATTTTAAAGCATTTTGTGTTAAAGGCAGGTGTTCACCAGATGTGAAAATGGTATAATTATATTAATAGCTTATTTGATATTGAAACGAATATTAATATACATGTATATGTGAGACTCAAAACATAGTATGCATATTTCCTTATTACGTATTTCAGCACATATACATTTGTGCAATCTAAATAGTTATATTTGCGTACATTTTTCTTTCTTCTTTTATATAATTTATATTATCACGCGAAATGTGTTATTTAAGATAATATAATATTCTAACATTACATATTTCAAACACGACATTAGGCAATTTTAAAGGTGTTTTATACATTCTTCGTATTGAAATTTTAAATTCACATGACATCATATATATGATATTGTGAAAAGAAGATGTTACTTTATGAGTATTTTATTCAAATCAGGTCCTGTTTTGAGATATTCTATAAAAGGGTATCACGCCTTATAAAGATTTTTTTACAGCTAATATGGTGTATTATCACATAAACCGCGGCGGAGGAGTGTAATAAAGCCATTTAATAAAAATGATATTACACTAGACGATATTACACTAGTGTAATAACACTTTGACGTCACGTCATTTGCACTATAAACATAGCGGTAAAGCGCGCTAATGTTAGCGTTACACTATAGGCGCGTCAAAGTAAAATGACTCTTGTTAACAGTTTATCTGTCTTATTTTATATATGTGATAAATAGAATATTATATTCGTGTAGATTCAATACTAAATTTATTGAACTCGTTGAATAAAACAATATTATGCTCGCCAGAGGCTCGCATAATATGATTTTATTCAACTCGTTCAATAAATTTAGTATTAAACCTGCACTCATTCAATATCCTCTATGTATAAACGGTTGCAAAGCAAAGCGATGTTTATATTGCAGACAACCGTTTATACACGGCAATATAACATGTAAAACCTCTTAATTAAGAATAAACAATGCAGCAAATTTCATTCAGTTGGAAGACAACTCTAAAGTATTTCACACAGTGACAGAAGCCGTGTATGAAGATTAAATAAATTGTCACGACTATCCAATAAAGAAGAACATTACAACCGTTCAGTTCTATAACAAAAAGTATAAATCAATTATAATTAAAAATAAACAATAAACAACTAAATGTTTCATCTTAATACCAGTTATGACGACAACCATTAAGTGAAATTTCATAATGACATTTTTATTTTTAATTCGACCATTTGCAATATGTAAACACTGGCCGGGTATATTGGTTTTTTGTTTGTTTGTTTGTTTGTTTTTGTTGTTTGTTTGGTTGTTGTTGTTTTTTGTGGGGCTTTTTTTTTTGGGGGAGGGGGGTGGGGGGTTGTTTTCTTGTTGTTGTTTTTTTTGTGTGATAAAATATTGAAAATAAATGAGGATACTGTAACAGCAAATTATGTAAAAGTCTTCTTAGAAAGCGAAAAGATGTTGACCTTATGAATAAGCCAACTTTTTTGTAATCATATATTCCTGGATTAGTTTTTATGGTAATAAAAAGAATAGTATATCCACATGCATTGACTGGAACATAGTAACGTTTTCAATACAGAAACAAGTTTTTACCATGATATGTAAAAGAAAGGTCACTGCAAGTACATTAGGAGACATTTTACGTCTAGACTGGCAATCATATTAATATAATGAAATATTTAATTTTGTGTAAAATATTAAATGTAAAAAGCAACATGCCATGAAATATTAAACTCTGGAATATAATGATAAATTTATATAACAGGCAGGTGTGGTGTTGTGAACAATATCAATTTATAAGAAATATTACAATTTTATATAGACATGTACTTCAAGTGTTTTAATTAATAGGTTGAATATTGATTTTGGTCCTACTGTTGTTTATGTTGTTTAAGTTAACTGTTTTAGTACATGTATTATATACAGGTACATATATCAAAATTAAATAAAGACGAATTTTAATATACTTTTTTGTCGTTAAAAGTTATATTTGTTATGGAATAATGCATTATTATGTTGTTTACATGGTACTTTAATCGATTCTTGAAAAAGTTGTGACATATAATGCCTTTGTTATTTAACATAACGATAATATTTTACATTAACCCTTTATCAAGTAGGGTTTTAAATCATTCGAATGCACAACACTCGCTCTTTGGCCAATATACAAGTATATGTCTAACAATACATTTTGTGACAGATATATTGCTTTTTACAATTAAATGTTGCTTTTTTCGTTTATAAGAAAAGTGTTGATTTTTGTTTCTGTAAATTACCGAAAATGCACTAAAATTGAAAGATTTATGCTTGTTTTTTCCTAAATTATCTTGACATCTTTACTTCTTATTAGCTTTTACTTGATTTGAAAAAGTTGAGCTCACGAAATTAATTGATTTCACAGTAGTCATTTACCATAACAACCGAGACCATTAGATTAAGATTGGCACCTCCAGACACTCTGGTAGGAAAGGCAAGTTATTTACGTCTTTTGAATGCAGAATTTAATGAAATTACTATTAAATGAGGCGGAAAATAGGAACGGTTCTTGGAAACTTGAAATACTGTGAAATTATCCTCTCAACCCCAGATGTATTTAGAATGGAATGACGTGTGAAATTACTTCCTTTCAAGTAGTCTATCTTATTTATGTATGGCGACAGTTTTATTGTTGGAATAAATTTTCAAAAGAGGCTGTGAGAGTAATTAAGGTTCACCACGGCGCGCTCTTTGCGGTATTTGAAAGTGTTTATTTTTTATTATTTTGAAGCCAACTTTGGCTGATATTTTATGAGCATTAATCATACATGTATTTTGACGGTTTATCATTATATAAATAAGATTTGTAAAATTTGCATGGTGATTTTATCCCGTAACAGTGACATATTTTACAGCAAAGTGTATTGCCTTGCTACTGTTTAACCAATTTACGAACGTTGTTATCTGAATGGTTATTGGGTAATAAATCGGACATTCCACTTATTGATTTACCGATATCTTAAGATGAAAACTGGACATTGATGTTCATATAAATGACCACGAGACTTCTAGCGTCCATGACAACGGCATGGGACTTTAAACATTGTACTTAAATACCGTTATTTCCTTCAATTGAATAGGTGTTTCGTAAGTGGTAACCGAAATAATAAGATAACGCGATAAATGCACAGTATGGGGTAAAAATGGCGAAATTTACCCAAGTTTCCTTGGTTTAATAATGAAATTATTTTTACAAACTTTTCCAAAAACAAACCAAACATCCTGTTATCTGGGTACTTGAACAAGCAACACAAATCATACATTAGGAAAATAAATAACTTTGTTTATTCTAGTGTGTTTTATGAGACATAGCCATTTGAGAGATACACTTTTAACGCGGTGTTTCATCTTTAATGATTTTATAATGTGTTAAAAGTTAAGGGCCACATGTTTTAGGTTATCGACTATATAAATCATGCGACGTAAGTTGTACAAAATGAAGTCTCGCTTCCCAAGTGATAAAATTAATTTATTCATGCATCAATTTCAATTTTATCTAAAAATGTAATCTGTCATGGCGGTTATATTTTAAACTTGGATGACTTCGGATAAAAACACTGTTATTTAATATTAAAGCGCAGCCACACACCAATTTAAAATTGTATTGAGATGTTGAATATTTATGAATAGAAGACCTGATTAAACTAAAAATATGTATTTATTTTTTTATATAAACGCAGGACGGTGTTCCAAAAATAACCCCCTTCTTTCATTGAACTTCACGAAAACATTATGGGTTGAAAAATGTAATTTTGCGGTGGTGAAATGTTGGAGGGAAAGGGGATTTCATTACTCCGGGCATGTTTTTATCTTTCCGTTATGATTCACTTTTTAAAAATTCTAAATCAGATGAAAAAAATAACCCGTGTTCCGGTAAAAGTAAATGTAACTCGGTTTTACGTAACAAATCATTTATGCTATAATATATATTATATGCCTTTTATACGATAGGTGTTCTTATATTTAAACTATAACTAACTTATTGACTAACATTTATTGAACTATTTTGACAAAACATGCGACACATTTAGACGAGAAACAGGTTCGATTTCATATAATGGTACAAAACAGTTATTCAATTGACAAAATCAATCTCCATTTGTAATTATTCTTTGCATATTCTTATCAATTCATATTGAAATCCAACTTTGTTAACGTACGTAAATTGATACAAGTTTCATACTAATATCCATGTGAAATTATATGATATTTTATGTCTTATTTTATTTGTAATAGATAGACCGAGATAAGGTAAAAGCTTATGATAAGGCGTCCAAATGTTTTGTTGTCACATTTGTTTAGGATCAAATTTTAAATAAGATATAGACTGCATCC